CTAACAGGAAAGACGATGATTTGTCCCTCCACAGGGTAACGCTCCGGGCCAAACCTTCCCCCCCTCTCCCCCTGGGTAACGCCAATGATCGTACTGGGGGGGTGGCTTGACACTCCCCTACATGCTGTGGTGCACACGAGCGGTTGATGCGCCGGCGGCGCAGACGCACCTTGGCGGGTGCACGCCGCGGCCGCCGTTATCGTTACCCTCCCGCCCGAACCCCCTCCCCTCCCCCCAGGTAACGACTGTTACCAAGGATAGATAAAAACATGGTCACCAAACGGGATAGAGGGGAGGGAGGAGAGAAGAGCTACACCACCGCCACCACCACCACCACCACCACCCACCCACCCACCCACCCACCCACCCACCACACACCCACACCCACCCACCCCACCCACCCACCCACCACCCACCCCCCAACACCCACCCACCACCCACCACCCCACCCCACCCCCCCACCCACCCCCCACCCACCCCACCCACCACCCACCACCCCCCCACCCACACACCACCACCACCACCACAACAACCACAACCACCACCACCACCACCACCACCACCACCACCACCACACACCACCACCACCACAACCACCACCACCACCACCAACCACCCACCACCACCCACCAACACCACCACCACCACCACCACCACCACTACCACCACCCCAGACCCCCGGCGTAATAATCTTTCATGGACGTCGACCCCCAGAAGTTCCGACCCATTCCCGGGATCCGTTTTTATCCCGAGTCGTTTTTTTACGGTCCCAGGGCCTGGCGAGGATCCCCAGAGGCCGAACATAGCGAATCATCTCCCGTCGTGATCTTGCACGACGCGAGCATGCCTGGGACCACCAGGGGTGCCACCCCAGCGAGGAGGCTAACGATGTCTCCCCGAGCCGAGCGCAGGGGATGCTGCCTGCAGCGGCGAGGACGGGCCCACCGCTGCCGGGAGGACCCCTCCCCCTCGCGCGGGCCCTCGCGCCGGTGGAGGCGGCGTCGCATTTTTCCTCGACCTGCACCTTCCCAGGCACGACCGCGTCGCAGCAGAAGTCAGGGCTCGGGGAGCTGCGCTCCCGCAGGACATGCTCGCGTCGTAACACTCGGGTTCACGAAGGTGAAGCGATGTCAGACTCTCACCTCCCCCTCCTCGCTCCAGGTCGCGCGCGAGCGTGCGCCACGCGGCATGTATGCCGCCACTTGGTGTCGAGGAGGAGGAGGAGGAGGAGCTGACGTAAAACAAAATCTGAACGAGAGAGGCTTTTGGCCGTTATTCGGCCCCTGGGAGCCCTCGCCGGGCCCCGGGACCGTCGAAGGACGACTCAGA